TCCTTAGCAGGCAACCATATCACTTTTCCTTTAAGTTTCACAGCAGCCTGACCACAAAGGAATTATTTCAAGTTCAGTCTGTGTGATGTGTACAGCACAGAGATTCCTCATGCCCTTGTCTTTTAACCCTGTGTGACATTTGTACCATTGTGAAAGAAAGCTTTTCACAGACCCCTTCCTTGTAAAATACTGTCAAGTCATATGGATTGGTACCTTTGCCTCTCATTTACTATTGATTCAGCTATACTTTAAGATAATGAAGATTGAAGCAGTTCCTTTAACATAAGCTGGTAACAAGATTGTTCCGTGATGAAAGATTGGTGTGGGTAGATGTAAAACAGGAGGAGTCACTTTTGTAAGTATTTATGGCACAGTTACAGGAAGTCACCCACAAGAATTACCTGTGTCAAGAGGGTATATAGAAAACATATAGTACCTGCAGGTCAGAAGGGACTAAGTATAACTATGAATCATAATACCTATAGTACTATATAAATAATAAGGTATTATTCATCAAAGCGTCAGATTACTCTTGCAGGCATCTCAAAAAAAAAAAAGTAAATTCTCATTGCAATCGTAGCATCATCTATTTGAAGGAATTCTGGATAGTAAATGCTAAGAATAAGCAGTTCTAAAGTAACCAGTTACAAATGAGAGTGGGACAGTGGTTTCATGAGCTATGGGAAATCCTGAGTCTACTTTTAAAGTTAATGTGAGAGGCTCGTGTCCTTAGTTAAGTTTGATTGCTTTGATCAGCACTTTCTGCAAACAGATTGTCACTCAGCCTGTTAAGTTTAATTACTGTTATTCATAACACTATTCCTGCCTTGTTTTCTCCTGATGTGACCACTGGCAGTATTGCCCTAGAAATGAAGGACAGAATTATTTTACTTTGAAAATTGGAGTGATTTTTAACTTTTCTTTCTCTCTTCTTTCTCTCTCCTTCCATTTTATTTTATGGAAAATACAGAAAATGTTAGTATTCCACTGTGAATTGTTACAGTTGGCCTTTTTTACAGCTTCTTTGGTTAGGGTTTTTTCTCCTTTCTATTTTGCGGAGGTGAACTTAGTAGTTCTTACATGATCACTAGTAGTTCTTACATGATCAATTCAGATTCTTCATCTTGTCGTACTCAGTGGTTGTGACTGTTGATTTTCAATCTAGATGAAAAAACTTACATTTTACAGTAAAAATCCTAGTATTCTGCCCATTAAAAGGAGCCTATCTCCTTTTGGTTGAGTCTGCACATAAAAACTTAAAAACCACATGGATCTGTTGATGATTATCACCAGAAGTATGTTTCTCCCCCGTAGCGAAGTTTGGATATCCTAATAGGTAGCAAGTGCCCTTCTCTGGGAACACGGTATTGATCTCTGAGATGTGCAAATGAAGAGTTTGCCAGCAGAACCCCCATTCATCCTGCCTCTTCTGACAACAGCAGCACAGCCACACAGCTTTGGTAGCCAGTACCTAGGTCATAGTATAAATGAATATTTACTTCTTAAATTGTGCCTAGATGTATATGGAGAGCCAGTATCTATTCCAAAGAATTAGCAGTGGATACTATCAAGAAATGTTTGTTACCAGATGCACGGCTTGAAACACATGAATGAGAATTAAATACAAATAAATGTGAGAATTACATCTAAATAGCAAACTATTATCTGGAAATATGTTAAGTTTAGAGCCTGAAGACCGTTAGCTTTATGGGAGGGATAGGCTCTTCATTTTCCATTGAGACTGTGATTTTTAACTAGAGGTTTGAATTGTTGCACTACAGAAATACTATTTTATCTCCTCAATTCAGGATTAATCAATTATTTGAATTCTTAAAAACCCTAGAAGCAAAACCAAATCCCTTTCTATATTTCTTCTGTAGTCAGTATTTTCCAGTGTTACTGATTCATTTGCATTTTTCTGTGCTTTAAACCTAATTTCCCCTGTGTTTTACTCTATTTTTATCTGTGCAATATTAATCCAGCTAAGATGACTGCAAAGTCTGTAGAACCAGGTGTGAAAGTAAACAACTTCACGTTTTCAGCATTGTTTACAGAGCCAATTACCTTGTATTGGAAAGTAACTTCAGTTCTGAGACGCTGATTCCTCTCCCACCCCCATCTCTCTCTCACATGGTCAACTCCTTAAAGTATTATTTCCTGTTGTTTAACATTAATTTCTGTCCTGTTCTTGTTTCAGAGACATCCTCTATCAGCAGCACGCTCCTATGATCTGCCAAAACTCTACCGAACTGAAGACTTTTTTCCTATGAACTATGTAGGTAACAAGTATCAAAATAATTAATTTTTGACTACCAAAAGGTTTTTAGGAAAGGCTGCCTGAGTTTATTCTTACAGTTCATACTTTATGACATTGGGAAGAAGCAACTGTTACATTTCAGATTTTTGGCTAGCATCTCTAAGGGAAGCTAAAAATTTCTGATCATATTGTAGCTATAAGGAGTCTGGAACATTTATTCTAAGATTTGATCACAGTAGTTTGCAGTTATTTGATAAGCTTCCTAAATCAATGAAGAAAATGTACAAAAACTCACTTTGTTTACCTTCGCATTTTTATACTTAAATGATCAGAATGTTGAAGAGTGCTCTAGTATAGCATGTTAAAATTGTCAAGTAATGTGCTCATACTACCAGCTTCACAAATGCGCAAATGTTCACATTTTACAAGAGAACATGAAGTCAATGTCAAAATTAAAATTCACATGGCTGAAGCTTCCAGCACTCTATTTCAAACTAGGAATAGGGTTTTAAAAGCTGTTGTGTAATGTAACTTGAATGGTATAAATAAACTTTCTGTTATGGACCCTTGGATGTGCAATTTTGTAATGCAGATGCTATTTAGCCAGGACCAGGAGTAGCGTAGTTCATGTCTGCACCTGTAGCGCACATTTTTTTTTTTTTTTTAAACTGTAGACTAGGTCTAGGAAAAAAAAACACACAATTCTCTGAATAAGGAACATTAGGAAGAGAAGGTTATATACTTTTCAGATTATTGGCTTTGCATACAGTACAATACAGAGAAAGAGAAATAAATGCTTGTTTTAAAAATACCTGTGGAAAAACTCAAGATGGAGGACCCAATGCAAATTCTGTAAAGGGGGGGAAAAAAAAAAAAGCTTATGGTGAAAGTAAAGCTACATGGCTTTGAGTAACCATGGAGACCAGTGCTTTTCTGATGCAGAAATAAATGAACTCAACCTTTTCATATTTATTACTGGGACTGATGGTGAAAGATAAAGTTGAATTAAAATATAAAGCAACAGAAGACAGACCTAGTCAATGTCTCTGCCTCTGCAATGCAGGTTATTGTAATGGATTATTACGAATGAGCTGGTATTAGAGAGAAGCAAATTAGTTATGAAAGGAACAAAATACTCTTAGTTATACCAACCTGTTTATCCAAATATCAGCCTCTTTATTAACAGAAATGAAGACAGTACACACGACATGTTCCTGAAATCGTTTGGTCCTGATAAAAATGGAAATAAACTTGTTTTAATACCATAGCAGTGTATGAAATGTATGTACTAGAAAATGGTAAACTGTTTACTGTAACTGTATTAGTGGATATTTGAAACCTACCAATTTCTTGGTGGGAAGAATGGTAGAATTTTCCTAGAAAAATACTGGGTGAATATTCAGGTTTCTGTCTTGAAAACACATGTCAAAGGGTCAAATATTAATTGGCAAGTTCTTGCTACAGAAATGTTACTGTGGAACAGAGGATGGCAGCATTAAATGTCACTTGAACTTTCACTAAGATTAAGAGTTTGTGAAATAAAACTTCAATGCAGATATTTCTGCAACATCATGTAAAATGTTTTGAGTAGAAATCCTAGTGTAGATAAAGGGTTAAGTTACAGTACCCAAAGGAAAATACTAAGATCAAGTGTGACTTTAGTGTCTGATGCACCGGATAGAAAACTAGGAGTTTAGTGAAAGCTGTCTATCTGGCCCTGCTGGAAAATAAATGTTTAGTTTGGAGGAAAGCTTATTGGCTGTAACTGTGCTTCAAGGAGCGAGGGGGGGCATGGAAGGAGAGGAGTGTACTAAACGAATGAGGAAAAGTGTACTTGTTGAACCACTACATCTCAGCTGCACCTCAGGGCAACGAACGATGCTTCAAAATAAGTTATTACAAGCCCATATGAATGCCCATAGAAATAGTGTCATATAAAATGCAACTACCCTTAACAGTCTCAGACTGTCCTTGCCACTCTCAGGTATTCGTCAAAAGTCAAATCACAGGTCACACCAGCTCTGAAAGAGTTTTTGTTGTACAAAGCTGTCTTGTGTCTAGAAACAATGTATATGCTAATAACCTCCTACTTCATTCTCAGCCGTTACAACCTCTAGATTTCAGCGTATTTAAGATGGAAATCACACTTTGCTTTGCTGCAATTCAGGTAAACTGAATTTAGAGAAGGGTCTTAATGGTCTTTCTGCTCTGTTGTGCTGGCCAAAGCCTGGACAGACTGGTGTTTCAGGTCTCCCACTGAAGACAGCAGAAGAATTTAAGTGTTAGCTTGAGCTGGCTACTCTGCAAGCACAGCTGGCACATTTCTAGAGTTCTGCTATAGAACTTCAGTAGTGTATGTAAAAATTAGGTAGCTTCTATCTCATACAATTATAATGGTGTGGGAAGTTAAGATTACAGAAACTGGATTTAAGGTTTCTCCAGTTTTATTGAGCCATTTACCTCTTCTGCTTTTTGACTTCCTCAAAATGTGGTTAGCCTCAAATCTAGAAAGGAATTCTTGCCTAGGCTAAAATCCAGATTCGTAGAGTAACTTCTTTGAAATACTACAAAGTTTATGCCAAAACTTAAAACAACCACCGCCAGTCCTTCTTGATAGTCCTGGTAAGACAGACTATTTTTGTGCAAGACCTTTAATTTAATCACTATATAAAATGTTATTTCCTATCATGGAATTTTCTGGCAAGTGAAGCATTTCTAGAGTTCAGATTTCATAGTCATACTATTCAGAATTTGAAAATTTGACTGTAACTATAGAGTTCACTAATATTAAATTAACCTTGCCAGATATTGAGACAAATGACAAATATCATGCAGATTCATAAGATGATACCCCATTTTTTATTTCATTGCTTAACAGATAAAGGTGGTTGTGCTACTATTAAACTGTTGGGTTTTTTTTAAAAAGTTTTTTAAAAATGTATTTGAAAAATCCCTTACATGAAATGACACAAAACAAATTCTGAAATGTCTTAGTTTTCGGACAGCAGCCTAGACAGTGAAATAGAGCAGCCTACAGAGGGAGAAAGAAACATAACCAAGTTTTCTTAGCAAGGAATAACCTTTTCTAGGACTGCAAGTCCCTGGTTTTGTTGGGAAAAAGATTAACAACCCATTTACATCTGTAAGTGGTAGTTAACAAACTCTCAGCTGACTTACTGAAAAGTTATTATCAATGAAATAGTTCAGAAAGCCTGCTAACAAAATGAGTTGAAGCTCAAGTTTTCTTCTAAGGCAGAGAAACACAAGGAGCTCTTTTGCTGATGTAAATGTCAAAAGTATTTTTCCTGTATTGTTCTTAAAATGTATCTTCTAGCACTTGAGTGCATAATTGGGAGCCAGTCTGACTTTGACTCCTCGCAGTTAAAAAAGCAGAACAAAAGTACGTATCCGTTCTGTGAAGGGGAAAAGGAAGAACAAGACAAATCTAACCATCTTCACCTAAAGGTACTGTTTTCAGTCATCACTTCACACACATAATTAGTTCAACAAAACCCAGAAATGCTCATTCCGAAGAGTGTCAGCAGGACAAGTTAGTTGCAGAACATGAGAGCATACACATATTCTTGTCTTTGGCTTATATAGTGGCTTGTTCGGTATACTAGTGGAAAGTACAGTTTATACCTACCCAAGACTGCTATAGAGATACCTGAATGTTTTCTTAAGATCTCCGTGAAGTGGTTTCGCTGTTTAAAATTTTGAAGAGCACAGAACTATTTCCTCCTTTACATTAATGAAAATTTCACAGGTCAATTTAGTTCTTGTAAAGTATCAGAAAGTAGGTACTCTCATATTTATTAGACATATGCCTAAATCAAACTCATCACTCTACTTAAGAATAGTTTTGTTCTCATCACAATTAAATTCCCTTCAGTAAATTATTATCTTGATGAGGTTTTGGTTATGCAGCTGTCTGTTGTACTGCACAGTTGCCAAAATGCAGGACTGGTTTGACCAAACCAATCACAAATTTTAACAAACTGGTT